GAGCCATTTGAGGAGTCAAGGAATGAGGAACAAAGTGCTTACATTCTGGAATTCTTCTTGCCAGAAAGTCGGGATTACACACCTCATATAAAGGCCAAGAAGTGCAGAATACTACATTATTTTATTGGGCCAGTCAGATTCGTTCCACCACCCCAGGAGCATGATCATAGAGCAGAATCAAAACTTGGGGTCCGATTCATAAGTTCAAAGTGGAGGCAGAAAGTGATTCACGTCGTGCCGCGACGTTAAATCAAGCGCTTGTTGGGAGGCAACCCAGCTTTATTGCTTTCTTTTATTTATTTTTTTTTTTTTTTAATTGTATTATTTTTGTAGTGTCAATTTTTTTTTTTTCTAGGAGCATGGAAAGCAAAGGTATTGGAAGGATGCATCAGCAAACCAAATGGTTGGAACTAAGTGTGAGGTACCCACACGAAGGACCAAGCTTGGGAGAAGTCTGAGTACCCCATGAACTGCTAGTGCTTCGGCCTTTGGCCTACCAGGGAGTTTCTTTTACCCTCTTGTATGTATGGGTGTGCATTGGGGACAATGCACAATTTTAAGTGTGGGGTGAGGAGATTGTCTGGGTGATTTTTCATGCTACTTTAGCTGTGTTTTTTTTTTTAAAAGATTGGACTTTTCCTGATGACGGATCTTCTAGACAGTTTTCTTGAGGGAAGTAAGTCTAAAGAAAATACCAAAAAGATTTTTTGTTTTGTTAGGTAGTGTAGCAATTACCCCTTGGTTTTTCTTTAAACCACGGTTCTTTTCCAAGGGTTTTATTTGAACCGGGTGTAGTTAGTTTTTTTTTTGGGAATAGGAGCCATTGTGTTTTGTTTTGAAATGAAGCAATATCTCTTGACTTTGTTATGCCTTGAGAATAGTGAGTACTTTGGCTGTGACGCTTAGGCTCAGTTTTTGACTCTTGTATAAGTACCTTAAATTGTATGATTTTAAATTTGCTTAACTGCTCTGACTAGGGTGTCTTGATGAATCCAATCCTGAGTGAGTTATGTGCCATGTGTGTGTAAGGTTTTGTGATATTCTGTGCATTGCATTTGATGCCTAGAACTTGCCCCGTGTGTTTGCAAAGCGAAATAGTAGTTTTATTCAGTCTAGGAAGTGATATAGGCATTTCTTTGTTGAGCCAGATATGTATATTTTACCCGCCTAATTATTATGTATCGTAGTTAACCCCTTCGAGCCTGTAATCCTGTTTCTTTGGCAACCACATTACAAGCCTTACCCATTTGTTCGAATTAACCATCTATTTGAACCATTGAAACCTCTCATGAGCACTTGAATTGTTTATGAACTTTATAAAAGTTAAAGTGTGGGGTGGTTGGTTTGGCTTTTGAGTGGAACTAATGAAATAAGGAGAAAGGTGCACTGTTTTGAAAAAGGAAGAGCCACTTGAATTGAAAAAAAAATATAGTTGGATTGTTGAAAAAAAAATCTTGATAAGTGGTGGCTCTTGACGTAAGTGTGCTTAAAGAAGTATGGGGTAATATAAATTGATGTGAAGGTGGAGTTTTGGTTTGACATAAGTATGGGGTTTAAATGTTAAAATGTATGTATTAAAGTGCTTAGGGAGGTGTAGTCACTCTTATATCTAAATGTATCCTACCCGTCCCGTAGCCTACATTACAACCAAATAAATTCCTAATTGATCCAAGATTGAATGAGCTCGATTAGTGGAGTAGTACACTACGGGCAAGCTTATGGTGCATCTTTTGTGGCATATGAATGTTATTTCTGAGAGTGAGTGAATTCTTTCTATCTTGAGTTCCTAAGTGTTCTTAAATTTTATTGTGTGGAACTACTCTCTTTTGTTGTGTGAGGGCACTTGATTCATGAAGGAAAGGTAATGTCAGTCACCTCTATATTAGAGTAAGTGGGTGAGTTGTGAATAACGTGTGGTACTTGTGAGTCAAATCTTGAGGTGAAGATGTTACGCTTTTGCGCTTAGTCTATTTTAAATACTCTTGGTGTGATGAGTTAGGAGAATTGTTTAAAAAGGTCGTGTCTATAAAAAAAAAAAGTGTAGTTTGATTGCTCGAGGACGAGCAATGATTTAAGTGTGGGGTGTTGATGATAGGCTATAATTGCATATTTTAGTCGCTTATTACACTCGAATTTACTGCACTTTAATTGAGTTTGCGCTTTAATCGTTGGTGTTTTGCACTAATTGTGTGTTTTATGCCTTGTAGGTGTGATTCCGAGCTATATAGATGTTATGGAATGAATTAAAGTGATTTGAAGCTTTGAAGTCTGAGTAAAAGCTCAAGGAATTAAGCCGGGATCGTGTTCGGCGGTCAAATTTGATAATTAAGTACGAACGAAGCCTTGGGTGCAATCTAAAGTGAGTTGTATTAAAAGCCAGCTAGCGTATCTCGGGAGAGTGCGTCTAGTAAATTATCGTAATTACTCGGGAGAGATTTACGGTAATAAGAGTGCTCATGATCGGTAGAGAATACTTAGGCGAAATTATAGAAGACATAGCAGGAAGGATTCCGACAATTGGGGAAATCATAACTCTAGACCTCCTTAATCTTTTCTCTAACCCTCGGTATCTTTAGTTGTTAATTTACTATTTTAATTTGTTAGTTAAGTAGTTAAACACAAGAATCTTAATATCTATAAGTTAGGAATTGTTCAAGCTTGTCTTCTCGGTGATAGTGAACAGCTGTAGCTAAACCTCAGTTCTCTGTGGGATTCGACTCCGGACTTGTAAACCGGATTATATTTGCAGCGACCGCATTGTCCTTTTTTTAAGGCATAGTTGGGCGTGATCACAAGGCATTCCTTTTTAAACATTTATATTTTTTTAAACTCTAGGCATCTTCATTAAGCGTATTAACAATATTGAAAACATCGAACAGTTATAGGAGTACCTAATATATACAGAGAGAGAAAGACACAATTCACCGAGTTTAAACTTAGTGAATTGAGGGAAGACAAAGGTAAAAACATGGAAGGTGAGCCTTTAAATGATGCATCACTTACTGAATTTGGATCAACACTTTTTCGAAAACCTAGACTACAACTTAATTATTGATAAAATGAATTAAAGATACAATTAACCTATACATGCTCACCATTATCAATATTACATATACATAGACAACAGTGAAAAGGGCAATGCAAATATATTGTAAACCTGGAAAATGCTTAAGTTTAGGGATGGCAATGGGGCGGGTAGATGCGGGGCGGGACGGGTTTTGTTTGATGCGGGGCGGGGCGGGGCGGGGCGGGTTTATTCTTATGCGGGTGCCGGGCGGGACGGGTTAAAATAATTTTTAAAATTTTTAAAGCGGGATGGGGCGGGTTGCGGGTTTAATGCGGGGAATCTATTTACATTCGGGAACCGTAGACAAAATGCAGTTGAATGGAAACTGAACTTGAATACTCATATTAACTAGTAGTATATCCAAATGGAACAAACATCTGATGTTTTTTTTTCTTATAGTTTATTTTGTTTTTTTTTCTGACGAAAATTTCTTGAATTTTGCTGTTAAATCTTGTGAACCGTTTCTTCCAGTTTTGAAATCAATGTCACTTGTTATTTATGCTAATTAATGCCTCTTTTAGATTACCTTGGTAAATAACCTCTAACTCATCCTTTCTGGGCAAATCGCTTGCGAGACAGTTCTGAAAAAAAATTGGAGAAAAAAGAAAAGAAATTAAGTGGGGCGGGGCAGGGCGGGTCCAAGTGGGGCGGGGCGGGTTGAAAATTGAAAAAATAGCTATGCGGGGCGGGTTGAAATTTTTGTGGATCTTGCCAAACCCGCCTCGCCCCCGCCCCATTGCCATCCCTACTTAAGTTGTCTTTCATATGATGTTTGGGAGCTTCTTCAATCTCACAAGACAATTTTTAAGACGTTTAATCTTGCTCTCTGGATTAAGCTGCTCTAGCAAACATCATATATACACATCAGTATTAATTACTCCCTCCGATTCATAATAAATGAATTTTTAACCTTTTTTATTTTGGTCCAGTCTAAGTGTCTTTTTTACATAATCAATAATGAATTAACTATAGTTTTTCAAATTTGCCCATTTACATATCCCAATGTGTGAAGTTAACAGTATGCAAAATTTAATTAAGGGTAATTTAGTCAAAATACTTATTTGTTTTCTAGGAGTTTGTATTTCATTAAGAGGTGTGTCAAAGACAAAAAATTGATTTACTGTGGATCGGAGGGAGTATTAATTTTCTTCTTCTTAATTATTTTATGGAATATAGAGTACAGTTAGGCCTCTCTATAACAACATCCTTATATAACAACACTTCACTATAAAAGCTAAGTTTTTCCAGAACCAAATTTCATGTTTTGTTGTAATACATGTTTTCTATATACAGTAATTTGCTATAACATCCAAAAATATCTGAAACAAATGACGTTGTTATAAAGAGATTTGACCGTATATAATTACTGAAATTGAGATGCTCATTGAAGGGCTAATTAATATATACCTGTAGCAAAGAAGAAAGTAATGAAGAATAACCTGAAACTTCAAGTCTGGCTAAATTTGCGCGTGGGCACATTTTGGGGCCTCTTCCAACAACAACAACAACAACAACAACTACCAGTAAAATCCTACACAGTAGGGTTTGGGGAGGATAATGTGTACGCAGACCTTACACCTACCCCGATAGGGCAGAGAGACTGTTTCCGATAGACCCTCGGCTCAGAAAAAAGAAGAAGGGAGGAGACAATTCATTAGTAACTCCAGTAGAAACCGTAATAGTAACAGAAGCATAACAACCAAAAGATAAATGACATGCAATAACAGTAACCAGTAACTAAGGCCCGGGGTTAAGATAAACAGCAAGGATAATGTAAATTCAACATAAACTGCAAATGGAATAAAATAGGCTGGCTTGGTTTCAAGTTCCTGTACAAATTAAATTTTCATTATAACTAATTATTTGGATATTATTATCTAAGTAAAGAAAATTTATTTTTGAACACAAATTTATATATTCTTAAATCCCATCTTGAAGGATTGAATTCCTTAGGTTTCACATAAGTATCAGGATCCATATGAATACTTCTTGACAATACCAAAAACCTTCATCCCTTGGGTATGGCGTACCCTGCATAATAAATGAAGTTGAAGTGGGATTATAATCAGGGGTGGAGCTGGAGTGCGGGAAGCAGGTTCGGCCGAACCCAGTAGCTTTGGTTCGAACTCTGTATTTGTCTTTAAAATTTTGTTGAATATGTATAAATTATTACTAATTTAGAACCCCTGCAGTAACTTCAAACGATTAGAATCCCGAACCCATAAAACTTGAAATCCTGGATTCGCCTCTCATTATAATAAGTAGAAATAATTAAGTCCAAGGCAGAGTACGAACCATTTATGTTAACAGTAGTTTTTGCATCTCGAAGGAGCAATGATGATACGCTAGCACAACGCAGTGTTTCATTAATCACCTGTACCAATTAATTAATTACACTTAATAAGAATATATCCATATGTTAGTCCAAAAGAGTTTGATCTTGCACTAATTAATTGAAATTTAGAATAAATATTCTACATATTGAATTGTGTTCTCCTAATATACAAATAAGTTAGCAAGAATTAGCGAGATCTTACCTTCGTAAGATACTTCTTTTTTCTAATCTCTTCTATATTAAGGCCTGCATTTGAAGATGGTCTTTTCTTAATTATATCCTCTTGTTCCTCCTGAAAAGAGAAAGAAAAAAAAAATTATGAACAAGACATTGGCGTGAAAGTGGATTTTCAACTATCAATCACTGTAGATTACTTTGTTCGCACACCTGACAAGCTATGCACATCAAGTAATTAAGAAATTAAGAAGAAAAACAGATAAACAATAACAAGTCAAGTGTAATCCCAAAAAGTAGGGTTTAGGAGGTAGAGTGTAGGCAGACCTTACCCCTATCCTGTGAACAGTGACGAAGCTAAGAATTTTTCAGGAGCATTCAAATTTGAAAGAAGTGAAAAAAAGAATTTCCGATAAAGGGTGTTCAATATGTGTTATATACCTCTAAAACATAATATTCTACCTATATACGTACACAGTACAATTTTTTGACATAGGATGATCAACTGACTACCCTTATGACCATGTAGCTTTACCACTGCTTATGAGAGTAGAGAAGTTATTTCCGGTAGACCTCCGACTCAAAATAAAAGTAAATGAATCAGACACAACATGTAATAACATAAAAAAGATAAGGTGGTAGGAAGACAGGATAATAGAATAATCGAAACGAAAGCATCATCTAACAATTAAGAAGAACGTCATACAAAATATCAATTAAACTAGAAGTAGTGAGTGTGTACGTACTTTTGCTTTATGCAAGAAGTCAGGATGTTTTTCCAAATACATAATTGCTTTTGCCGCAACCTCAGCAGTAAATTCATAACCAGCAAATGTAACCGAAACTAGCGTGGTAATTATATTCTCATCATCTTGACTACTGTCTAGCATCGTATCCAGTATGCTGGACTTTAGCATTGCTTTATTTTTTGCAATCATGGCTTTTCTTTCCTCTATTATCTGATAAAATATCTTAACTATTGCTCCTCGAGCCTAAAATGATAAAGAAAAATCAATTATATATTCAAAAAAAAAAATACAAGTTAAACAAACGAATTTTGCATTCCGTTTTTTGTTTAAATCCACAATTAGGATGATTAAACCCTCTCAAAATACAGTTTTTGTGAATTCAATAATTTCAGATATCCAGGAAAAAAAACACTCATATTTTTTGGATTGATAGTTATACAATCATCCAAAGAATAGTACTCCCTCCGGTCCACAATAGGTGATTTTTTGGCTGTTTTCATACACATTAAGAAATGCACCTTTTAATATTAATTAGCAATGAAATTAACAATATTAACATTTACTATGACCACGCTTGGATTGACTTATTTTAAGTATTTTTTAGCCAAAATAGCTTTTAAGTCATTTTGTAGTGTTTGGATAAAGTTAAAAAGTGCTTCTAAGCACTTGTTTTTAAGCTAAAATGACAAAAATAAGCCAAAAGCTAGAATTACTAACTTGTGGCTTTTGGCTTAAAAGTCACTTACAACTAGGGGTGTCAATGGATATTTAAAAACCGACTAAACCAACCGAACCGTACCGTACCGATCGATTTTTAGGTTTCTTTTAATAAAACCGTAGGTTTTTATATAAATTTATAACCGTACCGATAGTTAAGGTAGGTTTTTTATTTTATGAAAATAAATCGAAAAAATACCAAACCGTACCGAATAAATTTACAATGTAAAAAATATATTTATATGTTAAGTTTAAAAATAATAAAGCATTAAAGTTTTTCTTGTACCTTGGAATTATGAAATAGTTACAAGCCAACAAGTAATTAAAACTCAAAATCTAATACTCAAGCTTATTGTACTACTTCTATTGAAACTAAATTATTTCCAGCATATTCACTAGCAAGACACAAGGTATTATAGCGATTAGGAGTAGCAACCTACAATGTACTGAATATATTTCCTTTCGTATGAATTAGATTTATCTTTTTGAAATGCTTAATCTTCTATGGACTTTATTCTTGAATCCCAACTTGGCTAATATCTTTCCACTCGTGTGATTTATATTTTTTTGTATTTGCTTAGTATCGTTCACGCTATAGAATATTTGATGGATCTATACTCTATCCATCTTTCATAATTTCTTAATTCATCACCTTTTAAACTATAAATATCTAGAGGGTTTTGCTAAGTCATATAAAAGTACATATGTTATTGCATTCTACTTCTACTAGTGACTTTTACATGACATAAAAATTACTGAAAATTTACCGAACTGTACCGATACCGAAGAGAAATCGACATGATTGGGACGGTTTCGAAAAGTTTAATTCTGGTTATACATAATAGAATAACCGAAAAAATGGTATGATACAAAATTTATAAAATAACCGGCCGAACCGAACCATTGACACCCTACTTACAACAAGCCCATCCAGACGGGCTCTATATCTTCACAAATACACTCCTAACACATACTCCAACACTATTTACTCCAAGGACAATGTAGGAAAAAATAATTAATTCATTCTTGAAATCTGAAAAAAATAAACCACAAGAAAAATGCACAAAAATCATTTATTGTGGACCAAAGTAAGTAGTGAACTATAGATAAGTAAGTCTCCTTAAAATGAGAGATTTATGATTTTGAAAATAAGACATGCATGTTACCTGCAGTATATAAATATATATATATCTTACATACCTTGTTTGCTCTATTGTAATCAAATCCGGGGATATTAATAGGGATGCTGAGAAAACCACGAATAAGGAAAGTATTCTCCTTAAAAACAACGTCAAGTAAATCTTGAGCAACCTCATCACCTACAAGAATTCTCATTAGTACCTCAAATGTAGTTTTTTTCATCTCAGTGAGAAACTCAATGGGTTTTTCCATTGAAGCCCATTTCTCAAATGAATTTTTCACAGTTTCGTTTATAATATCCAATTGGAAAGACAATGCTCCGCCATGACTCTGTATAGGATTACTTCTCATTCGACGCCTTTTCTCTTCTTGATTTGATGGAGGTTCTTGTCCCAGTACATTTAAGCTTGTTTTAGGCATATGTCTGTCAAAATTTTCATCATCTAACAAGATTTTCCTACATATTTCTGGTTTTGTGACGATAATGCTTGGCTTTTCTAATATTAATCCCTTGTACATTCCTCCTCGCCCGTACCTTAATTTGTTTAAGGAATGTTTTTATTAGTAATGGAAATTCCAAAAAAGAAAAAAAAAAAAAAAGAGAACAAGAATACTCAAGGTCCGTTTGGCCATGAAATTTTTTTCACCGTTTTTCTAAAAAAAATTTACTTTTTTTAGAAATTAGTGTTTGGCCATAAAATCTTCACTTTTCACTTGAAAAATTCCAAAAGCTGTTTTTCAAAATTTTCACTTCAGATCACTCGCAAAAATTCAAAAATAACCCAAAAGTGTATTCATGTCCAAATACAACTCTAATTTTCAAATATCATTTTCACTTTTAAAAAAATTCACTTTTTTTCGAAATTTTACAATTCTTATGTCCAAACGCCCACTTATTGAATAGCAAATATATAAGAGGCCATTTGGCCATACAAAATTTTAACTCATTTTCAAAAAAAAAAAACATTTTTTCGAAATTTTCAATTTTCACTTGAACATGAATTTTTTCGAATTTTTCGAAAATTTGAAAAACCTCGAAAGGCTATTTTTCAAAATTTCCACTTCAGATCACTCAAAAAAGTTCAAAAACAACCTAAAATTATATTCATGTCCAAACACAACTAATTTTCAAATACCATTTTCACTTTGAATTTTTTTTGAAACTTTAGAATTCTTATGCCCAAACGCTCACTTATTGAATAGCAAATATATACTTACCTAGTAACGAAGTAAGAAATAAATGAGTCCGGATCGCGACCTTTAAAACATTTGCAGAAAATAGGCATGTTCCCAAAGAATGGCCAGCCCATGTCACCTGGAGGAAAGTTATATTCCTTTGAACTAAATTTGATTGTATAAAACCACATATTTGTTCTTTTTAGCATGCTATAAACGGTTGAAATTCCCACTGCCAAAGCTGTGTACAAGAACACTAAGTCGTACTCCATCTTTTTTTAACTTTCTAGTGATCGATTAAACAAATTAGAAACCTTTGTGTGAAGCTGAATTGTGTGAGTTGGTTTATATAAACTTCAGATGATGAGTCTTGTAGTAGAGCAAATTAAAGTGTTACTTAAGTGCATGGGCACTTAGATTCAGGCACACAAGATGCCAAATGTGCCTCTTTTTTCCAGTATTCGGCTTCGACACGTACTTGTGCATGCACCAGTTTTTCTGATGAAAACAATGAATGATGATTTAATAGAACAAAGCCGAATTCACTCCGGACACTGAGATATTTTTAACTTGTTTTTATAATGAACTCGTGCTTCTGTCAATTTGTAAAGAGTGTAACTAAAGCCGGTTGGGTTTTATGTATTTAATTATATTAAACGGAAAAAGGTCAAAAGTATCCCTATCGTTTGTTAAATGGTTTATAAATACCCTCCGTCCATCTATCCATTCAAAAGAATACACTCCGTCCATCTATCCGTTCAAAAAAACACACGAAGTTGATTCTATTAACAAAAATACCCCCGCGACTAACGGCAGAACTGATGGAGTGTGTTTGTTTGAACGGATAGATGGATGGAGGGTATTTATAAACCATTGAGCAAACGATAGGGATTATTGACCAAGAATCAAATATGGGTCTTATTTTTACCCATTTACCTGGTCCGACCCTATTTATTTGACCCGCCTAATTATTTTCTTTCTTTTTCTTTGCTTTTTTTTTTCCCTCTCTTTTTCCTTATCACCCAGCACACCCACTCTCATCTCACAAAGAATTCTTAGCGTTTCTTTGTTGAAACACATCTTTCTTTGTGTTTGAAAATATGGCTTTGGCTTTCACTTCATCTGCACTTCATGGCTCTTTGTCCTCTTCTTCTTCTTATGAACATCCCAAAGGTAACCCTTTATTTATTTTTTTACCTTTTAAAGATTCAATCTTTATCCTAGAATATGATAATTTCAAGCTTTTTAGCACCTTGGTTTGAATTTTCTTGTGTGCTTGTATCAGTTATATGTAGTTGTTTTTTCTCTGTTATTTCGTGGCTCTTTTGTCTTCTTATGAATAATCCAAAGATTTCCATTACTTGTCCCTTTCAAAGTTTCAATATTTCTCCTAGATTTGATTGATAAATTTGGACTCAATTTTTTTGTTTCAGATTTTTGGTTTGTTTTGATCCTTGTCTTCTTACTTAACAACCCAAATGTATCTGTTGATTTTTCATTTAAGAGTTTCAATACTTATCCTGAGTTTGATTGGAGAAATTTCAGAATCTGGTTTGAATTTCGGGTTATTTGATTTTGGATTTTATCTATTCTTTAATTAATTTGTTATTGTGTGTATGCAGTGTCCCAATCGGAGAAGAAGAAAGGGGGAGATCAGATGAGTGGGAATGGGTGTGATAGATACTACCAATTTTTGTAAATGGGTCGGATAAGGTAAATGGTTGAAATAATATCTATTTTTTGTTCCAGTCAAAGATTGCCACGTGGCCCAATTAAAAATCCCTATCGTTTGCTAAATGGTTTATAAATACCCTCCGTCCATCTATCCGTTAAAAAAACACACTCTATCAGTTCTGTCGTTAGTCGCGGGGGTATTTTTGTTAATAGAATTAACTTCGTGTATTTTTTTGAACGGATAGATGGACGGAGGGTATTTATAAATCATTTATCAAACGATAGGGATAGGTTTGGCCCTTTTCCGTATATTAAATACTTAAAAGAGGGTGAATGAAAAATGGTGGAAAATAAAATTTTTGAGTGAAATTTTAAGTTTTCTCCCTTGGCAAAGGGACATTGTCCCATATTGGAAGAGGAAAAGGTTTTTGATGGGTATATAAGCAATTGCTCTTCTTCTAGCACATAAAGAGTTGAGAAGAAGGCGAGTTGAGGGAAAATAGTATTTGTTTTAATAACAAAATATTAATATTAAAATAAATATTAATATTAAATCCAAATTTCAGTTTTTTGTTTTTGTAACAGAAAATGAACTACTCTTCAATTTTCCCTCTTTATTGTTGAGTAAATAGCCATTTATGTTATGGCATTTATGCTGTGACCGTTTTGCATAAACATCCATCTGAAGAGTTGCACCTCTTTAGATTCCAGCCCAACTTTGGCTATAAATACAAGGCTATTCTGCTCAGAATTTCCATACGATTTTCTGAGTTTCTCCTCCTTCTTCTGCATACTTTTAACATCAAACAAAGCAACAATAAGCGTGATTTGCTACAGAACTTTGTGTTCGTTGAAACACTGGGGTTTGAAGTACCACTACACTAGTGTGTAATTCGTTTTATCCTAGGAGGAAATAATCCATAACCTTGGGGTACTGATAACTAGGGATTTTGATGCATTTTATACTCCTTCTTGCTTACGCTTTGATTATAAAGGCTCATAAGTTGTGCTTGATTGCAGTTTTGATCAACAAAGTGACAAGATGTCAAAGATCGGCTCAAAAGGAGTGAAATCTGCACAAGTACCAAAGACAAGACAAAACTCAGGAGAAACAGACCTAGTGCGGCCGCACTACACTTTGTGCGGTCCGCACTAGGGAGATTCAGAGAGTTGGATTTTCAGGCATCAAGGCAGTGCGACCGCAGAGGGTTTTGTGCGGTCTGCACAGAAGGCACCGCGGCCGCACTACCATTCTGTGCGGTCCGCAGAACCAAAGTTCAGAGAGATGCCAAATCCAGAAGATAAAGCATGTGCGGTCCGTAGTCCATTCTACGCGGACCGCATTAGAAGCCTCCGCGGCCGCAGTCCATTCTGTGCGGTCCGCGGAGCCTGGGTTCAGAGAGTCAAGATTTCAAGTCAAGAGCCTAGTGCGGCCGCACACCATTTTGTGCGGTCCGCACTGACCCCGCAGGGGGATTTTTGTCCAGTTTTTCCAACTTAGTATAAATAGATTCTTTTTCCATTTTTAGGGTATCTGGCGTTGTAATACAGTAGTTGCGCTCATGAGAAGACTTTTCTTAGCCATTTTGGGCACTCTTACTTAGTTTTAATCGTTGAATCTTTGTATTTACATTAGTAATTAATTGATATGTCTTTCTCTTCATCTATTTCTCTGATTTTCTCTTCAAGCATGAGTAGCTAGACCCATTAGCAAGGGTTGTGGCTCAACCCTAGTGTGGGTAATTGATGGGTGTTGTGATTTAAGGTTAGATTGACTATGGGTGTTTGTTATTTGGGTCAATTTTATGGTTTAATTTATGAATTAGTGGTTGCAAACACTAGTTTGTGCTAAGTTGACTTGGGCTCTTCTTGAGAAAGAGAACCTAAGTCTCCAAAATTGACTCAACAAGGAATTGGGATGGACTCAAGAGATTTGATAGTCCCAATTAAAGGGTTAATCCTCGAGAGAGTAATACCCGACTTGAACCCTAGTTGCTTGGACAAATATGCATACCCAATTGGTCTTGAGAAAGTCAATTGGGCAAAATGACTCTTTCTACCGAGAGGTGTAGAGTGGGTAGTATCGAGCAACGGGTATAACATATTCCCCAATCATGTCAGTCGTGCCTTGGATGCAAGTACCCGTCAATTGGCCACCAAGGTGAAAGTCACTACCCTAGTGCTTTTTAGACTATTAGATACAACTTGTAGCAATTTACTCTTAGTTTAATTTAGTTGCAATTATAATTTGTAGTTTGATCATAGTAGAATATAAAGAAAAACCAAAACTGACCAATTAAGAGCACATACGCAATCCTAAACTAGATAGATACTCGATTCCAATCCTAGCTCTCTGTGGATTCGATCCCGACCCAAAATCGGGTAAAGGCTATTGCGACCCTCTCTTGCTACTTATTAGTAGTGCGAAGTTGGCAACGATCACTTTTTGGCGCCGTTGCCGAGGAGCTAACGGTTTTCGCTATCTATTTAGTTAGTTTTGTGTGTTGTTCTTCTTTCCTTCTTTGTTACTAATTTATGTGTGTGATTACTACAGGTACCAAATGGTTTTAAATGCTAATGATCCTCTTGGAAATGTGCTTGCGGGGGAGGAGGTTGATGAAATTGGAGAGGATGAGGTGCCTCTTGTACCTCCCGAACCACGACGAGGCCGTC